TGTAGAGACTGTGTAGTCCCATGACAACCCCCGAGGGAGTGCGATAATTTCACACAAGCTTTTTTGGTGACCATCAGCATCACGTCTAGACACCTCGCGTGTTGACTGGAGAGAATCTTTGACGGGAGACGCGGGGACGGCCCGCGCACAGTGATGCATCCACAACCATCGGACCGCAGTTGGCCGCTCGCCGCGGTCACAGCTCGTCCCTGCTCGGCTGCGCCGGCGACTCGGCCTCCTCGATGCCCTTTGCGACCGCGTCGAGCGCCGACCAGCGCTCGCCAATCACGCGCGTCGCCTGGCTGAGCTTGGGCTCCTTGGTGAGCGGGTTGTTGCAGAGGTCGATGGTCTTTGCGCGCGGCTTGGAGGTGTTGCCGCACCACGTCTCGCACCTGTGCACTCAGGGCGGCGTGAGGAGACGCTGCTCACGGCCTTGGGCGCGCCGCGTCGCCGTGCGCCGCACCAGAGCCACTCCTCTGGAAGCGAGTGGATGGGCACCACGTGCTGCGCGTAGTTGGGCAGGTCCTGCCAAGGCGACGAGCGAGTGAGCGCCTCGGCCACACGTGGCCGATCTCGGCCATCTCTCGGCCGCCTCTCGGCCGCACCTGGTCGAGGTTGGAGAGCGAGTTCGGGTCCTTGGAGAGCGAATCGTAAAAGACGCGGTACTGGTCGCCGTACGCGCGCCGCCGGAACTTGTGCAGATCGACGACAAAGAGCGCCTATCCACCGGTGCGAGACGTTGCGTCCGTCCCCGCCCCGCCGCTGCGGCCGCATCCCGGCAGCTCGCGGCGCGCCGAGATGTGGTACGGCCGCCCCTGCAAGTGGTCCCTCCAGTAGCCTGCGGCATGTCTCGGACGTGTCATGGACGTGTCCTGGACGTGTCCTGCACGCGGCCCCTCTCGAGCAGCCCTGCGCGAAGAAGCGGAAGCCCGTCGTGTCGGGGTTGGCGTCCGCCTGGCAAAATGGCGTCATCGCCACCGCCGCGCGGCCGGGCAGCTTCATGTCCCACAACTCGCCAACGTCGGCGTTGACTACCTGCTCTCAGCGAGAGGCGTGGAGAGGCGCGGCTCTCTTCCGCGTCGCCGCCGCCGGCCTGTCGGCTGCCTGGTCGGCGTCAATGTAGATGATCCGCCGCACCGAGAGGGGGAACATCACGTCGAGGAAGAGGATCTTGTAGCCCCAGATGATGCGCTGCTTGTCGGTCTGCTTGTGGAGCCACGAGGGCCACTGGTACTGCACGAGCCCGTACTCAAAGCCGAGCGCCTGTGGAATCGTCTCGGACATGTCGTGGACGTGTCCCGGACATGCCCCCGCCCGCGCTCGATGCCGAGCGCCGCCGCCATCGCCGGCAGCGAGCCGATGAAGGCGGGCGAGAGGAAGTTTTTGAGGAACCAAAACTTGACGTGCCGCTTTGTGCGCTGCAGCACCGACTGCAGCATGATCTTGAGGAAGCGCTCGTACAAGTGCCTACGCGCGCAGACTCCAGCGCATCGAGGCGGGCGTCCGGCGGCATCGCCCCCCACGGGCATGTGTGTTGCGGTGCCCCGACGCGAGAGAGAAGACGTGCACAGTCTCGCTGGCGTCGCCCTTCTCGCCGCCCGACCACCACTTAGCCACAGATCCAATCACGCCCGCCGCGCGCTCGCCGCCGTCGCCCGCGCCGGCGCCGCCGGCCGCCTCGCCCTGCTTGTCGTCGTCGAGTATCGAGACCTGCTCACAGCAAGAGGCGTGATCGGACGCCGCTCGCGCCCCACCCCCGCGTGCTACCGGCGAGACAGCGCGGCACCGACTCGAGCCCGGGCCGCTTCTGCGCGAGCAGCAGGATGTTTGCGCCCGTAAAGTCCGCCATAGTGACCCGCACCTGCTCACGGCGCGAGCCGCGTGAAGAGGCGCCGTTCACAAGCCGCGCGCACAAGGTGGGGCTCCGGCGACGCGACGCGCACCGCCGCCGCGTCGTTGAGAGTGGCGGGGTCGATGCGCTGCATGCCTCCGCGAAACGCGCGCGTCGAGTGGCCGGCGGCGAGGAGGGCGGGAGCCGTGCGGAGGGTGAAGACCTTGCGCGCGGGAAAGGGGGAGGGGGAGGGGGAGTCAATGACGACCTCGGAGGCGTGGCGGTGGTGCAACCTAACCGATCAACGAGTAGACCGATTGGGCGGGGCGGGGGTGGCACCTCGGAAGAGGGCCCTGGCGCGAGGGAGAGATCCCACACGCCGGGCGCCGCCTTGAGCTGGAAGTAGCCTACCACACCGTCCAACCAACGCTCGGCCGCCGCCGCGGCTCGCCGGTGCGTCGCCGCCTCGGGAAGGGGGCGGGGGGGCGGGCAGGGAAGGGGCGGGGGGGCGGGCAGGGCGCGCGCCCAAGTTGGACATGACGAGTGTGTCGGTCGCGTGCGGCTGTGCGGTCGTCCCGAGCAGCAGCTGCAGCCCGTTGGGGGGGTGGCGCGAGCCGACGTCCTCGCAGCTGCCCGTGATGAGGAGCGACGCGAGCTCGTACACGGCGGACACCGTCCGACGGTCGCCTAATATCGACATCCTCTCGGCGTCGTCTCGACACCATCTCGACGCCTGGACGGCCTCCTCCGCTCGCCCAGCTCGGCGAGCCGCAGGTTGTCCATGTCGTACGCCGCCTCGGTGCACTCGAGCAGCCACGCCTCGGGTGCGTCCACGTGCAGCGTCAGCACCTGTGGCGTGCGCAGCGACGAGAAGAGGGCGCGGTCGAGCTGCGGGCTGAGCGATCGGCCGGCGTTGTCGAAGCTCGGCTCGAGCGACACGACGTACCTACCAGAAGGTTCCAGGAAAGGTCCAGGAAAGGTCCAGGAAAGGTTGTCGAAGCTCGGCTCGAGCGACACGACGTACCGGTAGAACGACTCGAGCGGGAACTTGTCGATCTGCAAGCTCGGGTTGAGGTGCAGCGTGACGGAGAGGCCTAAAGGGGGGGGAGCCTGCGACTCAGCAACCAGACAGCGGAAGGCGGGCGCGGCGTGGCGGAGGGACCGAACGTCTCGGGCAATCTCGGGCAATCTTGGCAATCTTGGCTCATATCGGCTCATCTCGGCTAATCTCGGGCCGAGCGACTCGTGCAGCGCCATCAGGATGGGCACCGCGCGCTGCGCCTCCTTGGAGAGCGGGTCGAGCACCGCCGTCAGCTCGAGCGCCTGCAGCAGCTCACGCCGAGGTCAGCCGGCGCCGGAGAGGCCGAGAGCGGCACCAGCAGCCCGCTCGACGCGCCTTCCCCGGCCCGGAGCCCGCCAGCTGCACGCACGCCGCACCGCACCCGAGGCTCTCGGGTCGGAACGCCATCTCGCGCACCCCTCCGGCGGCCGCCGCCGCCTGCGCGCCCCGGCTGAGCGCCGCCACCGCCAGCATGAGCAAGTCTGACCGCTGGCCGAACTCCTCGGCCGACGGGGCGCCGCCTGCGTCTGCCGCCTCCTCGGCTGCATCCTCGCCAACCAACTCGCGGACGAGCGTCGCCCCCGGCGCCTGACCACAGGGGGAGAGGTTGTGACGAGGTGCCTCGTCGCGCGCGCCCCGCCTCCCGCCCGGCGGCGCCTGCGCGCGCTGCTTGTACTCGAACTCGCTGAGGAGCGCCTGAGAGACAGGCTCGAGGTGACAAGGAGGGCTGATCCGAGGCCGCGACAGAGCTCGCTGGGGAGGCGCCAGATCGACGGCGTCGAGTTTGCCCGCCGTCGCCGCGTCGACCAGCCGCCCGTTGACGACGATCGCCGGCGCCGCGGAGACGCCGAGCGAGCGGCAGAGCGCAGCGTGGTGCGGCGCCACCACCGACTTCACGCCGGCGATGAGGTTCGCAGTCTCTGCTGCGGAGAAGGCCTCGGGCACCGCGCTCGCCAGCAGCTCGGGCGTGAGGGCCTCTCCGGCCAGCGCCGCCGCGTGCAGCAGGGCGAGCAGCCGCCGCGCCGCCCCGAAGTCGTGTGTGGTCTGGAGCAGCTTCTCCCACGCGGCAAAACCAACGCGCGAGCGCTGCGCCGCCTATGGGGGGGTCTCGGAGACGGCGATCAGGCGGGAGAGGGGTCCCGAGCGGCGGGGGCGACGCGGAGGAGGCTGCGGCCGCCTCCTCCTTCCGCAGGTGCTCCATCGGAGGGCAGGCGTGCCCGTGCTCGGGAGTGCACTCCCCACCGGCAGGCCCTCGCCCCAGCTGCAGCAGGCCGAGCCGGACGCGCCCGCCCGGCGCCGCCTCCGCCGCCTCCACCGCCGCGGCGGCGAGGGCGACGTGCGACGGCTGGGAGAGGTCAAGCACCAGCAGCTTGGAGACGGGGTGCAGCAGCTGCTCCAGGTCGCCTCCGCCCTCGCCGCCGTCGCCGCCGTCGCCTCCGCCGTCCTCCTCGTCGCCAAACTCATCCCCGCCACCATACGCGTACATATCCTCCTCCGCCGGCGGCGGCGCCGCAACGGGCGGCGCAGCCTCCGAAGGCGGCGAGGGCGGCGCGGGCGGCGTCGCGAGCCACTTGATCGCGCCGAGGTGGGCCGACGGCTTGAGGCCGGCCATCACCACCTTGTCGATCGGCTGCAGCAGCGCCTGAGGCAGGGTGAGCAGGTGGGGTAAGGCAAAGGTCTCCACACACGCTGCGCGCCGCGCGTGCGTTCGTGCGTGCGTGCGTGCCTCGTTGTAGCGCGGGAAAGTGGCCGTCGCGTTGGCGATCGTCGCGTACACGTCCTGGTGCTCGTCGGTGAGCTTGCCTGCGGGGGGAGGGGAGGGGGAGGGGAGGGGGAGGGCGACGCGAGAGCGCCGTCAGCGAGGCTTGCTTTGGAGGAGCGGCGCCGCCAGCAGGCGCACCCGTCCGGACGAGGCGCTGGACGGTGCGCACCTCGGCGGAGAGGGTCTGCATGATCTCCTGCTCGAAGTTGTCGCCCAGCCGCGTGAGCAGGCCTGTTCACACCGTGCGCGCCGTGAAGAGGCGCCGGCCACCGCCCCTCTGCCGCCCGATGGCGCGTGAGCTGGCCGTTGAGAAGCAGCAGCGGCTGCGCGGCGGGCAACCCCTTGTCCGCGAGGAACGTCGCGCCGCTGGCCACCTCCGCGTCGAACTCGGTTGAGGCGCCGGAGGAGAGGCCCTCGAAGGCGGCCGCCGCGTCGATGCCCTCCTTGCGCGAGGCGGAGGCCGCGGCGTGGAAGGCTTCGCGTAGATGCTCCTCCTGCGGCGGTCACGAGGCCTTTCGTGAAAGATGGGTTCGTGTCGGACACTGCCTCGGAAGGCGGGTGCTCTCCTGCAGCTCGTCGAGCTGGGGCGGGCCGCCGAAGAAGTTCATCATCCCGCCTCCGAGCTCGCGCACCTGAGACGCGTGACAGGTAAGGGACACGTGACAGGTAAGGGACACGTGACAGGTAAGGGACACGTGACAGGTAAGGGACACGATGGCAGCGATCGTGGTGAGCGCAGAGGGGTCGGCAGGACGGCCATGCAAACCCATCCCAAGCGGGCGCACCTGCCGCGTGGCGGCGAGGAAGCGCATCGCCGTCGCCGAGCCCATCCGCCGCTTGCGAAAGAGGAAGAGCTTGGTCAGCAGCAGCCCCAGCCGCTCCGCCTCCGCCTCCTCCTAGCTGTCGCCCCCCAATCGCGCCGATTGACTAGCGTCCCGTCATACGCGCCCTCCTTCCCGCTATTCCTGCCACCGCGATTGTCATCCACAAGCAGCACGCCCAGCGTATGAGCACGGAGCCGCCGCCACCGCATGTGACCGCAGC